GAGCGTATATGCAGAACGTAGCTGCAACGAAGTTGCGGCTACTAGAACTCCAGACCAGCTCCAGGCCAGTGGTAAACCCGCTTTGCACTCCAACAAGATTTTTGTATACAGTGTACCTCTGCATAGTGCTGTAATTCGCCTTCGTATGCATTACCCTTCTATGCTATCACCAGATAGCCAAGGAATCATATTTTCATGCCGTCTAAGTCGACATACACACAGGATAAATCGTTGCGGTAAAAAGAAGCGTTCGCATCAGCCCCACAAGTCAGCTCCTGGGCTGGCTGTGTACAAATTGTAAACCATCAAATAAAATAGCACATAAGATGCATTGAACCAGAGCTGAATCCTACTTCATTTTACGTCAGAATAGGGTTCATCAATTTAGAATAAATCCCCACTACTCGAGTAGCATACTTTCAGCAGCAAAATTTAGCGTGCAGCGGTCCCTGCTAGTTTAGCACCCGATATATTAACAGTGCCAATTCTAACTCATACAAAACCTCTTTAAAGACTTATTCGTGAACTGTTGAGCTGCGTTTCCGAGTGTTGGCTTGGGGCTCGAGTGAGCGCATGCATTAACAAAGCATGCAGCCAACGAGCACCATGGGGCTTTGGGGCTTTCCGCAAATGTAAGATGGAATAAATCATAAGATTTTAAAACTTCAAGTTAAAACTTTTATTGTAATTCTTCCTCAATCATTCATCACTACCCTTTAAAGAATCGAAGCCATTAGGCTCCACACCACTCCAAGTCCCCGCAAATTCCAAACGCAATAGGCCAGTGGTCCTTAGCGGCAACCTAATGGTTTGTAGTAAAATATTTTATAAATAGACAGCTCTGCTGGTTGGATAGGTTTCAACAGTCGTAAAAACGGATAGTTGGTTTGAGCACATACATCCGCGAAAATGGCGGAGAAGAAGTCACAGGAGACAGAAAAGCCAGGCGACGGTAGGTTTGTAATTTTCACGTTCTGTGTTTGTTTTTCGAGAGATGCATTAGACTGTCGTCATCACTGCTAGAAGCGAGCAATCGTTTGCACCCGCTTAGTTTGTCATTCTAGGTGAAGGATATGTAAATAACTTTGAACAAATGTTGGATGTAGAAAACAGTTGCTGCTGCTACGCAAACATATAAAAAAGAGCCAGATGCTTGATCGCTACAAACTGCGCTGCCTATCCATAAGTACACTGCGAACGTTGGCTTCTCGCCAGATGGAGAGTCGGCCGAATTGGAGGAGCTTCGTACTCTCCAAGAACTGCGCTCCAAAGCACAGGAAGAAGTGGATAGTCTTCGCGCATTGCTCGAAAAGACAAGGCAGGGCAGGATTAAACTGCAGCTGGAAACAGTGAGCTTATCTCATTTCCATGCAGTTTACGGCCATCAGGCTTAAATTTGTGTTCCGCTCGACCCAGATACTCCGACCTGGTCTGCAC